TGCTCTCTACAACTACCTGAAAGGAGGTTGTAGCTACGTGAGGCTCGGTCTCTTCTCCTAAGTAGCAAGTGATAGGATAAGAGGAAATGGCCTCAAGCTGCGCCAGGGGAAGTTTAGGTTGGATATTAGGAAAAACTTCTTCACCTAAAGGGTAGTCAGGCACTGGAACAGGTTGCCCAGGGAAGTGGTTGAGTCTCCATCCCTGGAGGTATTTAAAAGACGGGTAGATGTGGTGCTTGAGGACATGGTTTAGTGGTGGACTTGGCAGTGCTAGGTTAACAGTTGGACTTGATGATCTTAAAGGTCTTTTCCAACCAAAACAATTCTATGATTCTATGATTCTATAAATAGGAAAAAAATTATTTAATTGTGCACTTGACAGCACCGTGTCAGTTTAGCTTCCTTATTTATTATTTCCAGTCAGGAGCTCTCTTTCCTGTCTGTCTTCAGTGAGGCTTTGATCACAGAATAACACAGGGTGGAAGAGACCTCCAGAGGTCTCAAATCAAACCTCCTGTGTGAAGTAGGTCCAGCTGGAGCAGGTTGCTCAGGATCCTGTCCAGTTAAGTTTTTAATATTCATTGTTTTGACTATTCACTTTGAATATTCATTTGATGCAGCGAAGTGTGAAAGAAAACACTTTTAAATACATCCATATGACTATAAAACCAGAGAACTGGCAGTAAGCCTGAGTGGCGCATCCAATACCTATATCAGCTGGAACTTTTTAAAATAAGTAAGCAATTGTCTAGACTTCCAGTTGCCCTTGCTCATTTTGACTGAACAAACTTTATAAAATTCTACTCTCAGGGGAGATTTCCTAGAAGAAGAAGTTACATTATTTCAGCGTGGAGTGAAACACTTATTTTTCTTTTCCAGCCAAATAAATTTCTTGCAAGAATATTGTCTTTTCATGTTTTATAAGAGTACAGAAAACAGATCAAATAGTTGGATGTAATTCTATTTCACCAAAGAACAATAGCTTGAAAAATGTAGCTGCCTTTCATAACAGCGACCATGGGTCCAACTTCTGGTAAGAGGTATAGTACAAATGTTGTTAAAGTCTCAGCCAGGAATTCTCTGCCTTAAGCCTGTAATACGGCCAGGTTTGTCACTCTTTTTTTCCTGAAGTTTGTTCTTAAGGCCAAGTTTATTTAAACAGACATTATCTTTTCAAATGTCCTGGCTGAAATCCTGGCCCTGTTGAAATTAGTGACTAAATTCCCCTCACTTCAACAGAGGCAAGATTTCAGCATATATGTTTATAAAACATTTCTTTACGGTACCTCAAAGATTTCCAGCCTTTTCCCACCTGCCTCTTGAGCCTACCGTAATTTATTACCATACACCTAACCCTTCGGGCTACATCGTATAAACCTTTACAGCCACATTCAGAAGTCTCTGGAAGATTTTTAACAGTTTTAGTTGGCTTCCTAGGAAAACAAGGTTTACACAGTCATGCAGCCTGTTCCTCTGTTTGCTTGTCCCATTGTCTTTTAGCCTTTTTTTCAATTTCAGCCAAATCTGATGGAAACTTAGGAGGTCTCACAGACATTACATCCATTCAAGGTGATATCCATGGCATAGAAATACCCAATTCAGTGCCGCTTCCCTGTGAGCTCAAATGTTGATGCTTCTGTTCTTGCGGCTTGCCAACCAGCAGGCGCTTGGCCTGAAACACGGCACGGCGTGCTCCGTGCCGTACGCAGGGGAGTAACACGGCGCTTGGGGACGGGTTATTTGGGGAAGCGAGGAAGGCAGTGAGCGGCCATTAGTTCCACGGCCTCTGGAACAATTTGCTGGAATACTGCAGGCCTGACAATTTTATTGAAAGTTTGTGGTCTACTGACACGAGGTTCGCCGAGCCATGGCTTGGAGCTGGCTGTCCGCTGCCACGCGGGAACAAAAAGGCTCTGCGGGGCCTGGAGAGGCCGAGGAGTTTCACACAACCCACGCTTCAGAGGTTTGATTCAACTATAAGCCCCGACGACACATGACGGAGGGGGAAATACCGCCCCCGGTGCCCCCAGGACGTCTCTAAAGCTTTTAAATCCGAGGATTTCAACGACAACCTTTCCAACGGTTGCGGGGCTCTGGAAATCCGTGAGGGAGGCGCCGCCCGTTTGGTTCTCACCGCTCCCCCGAGCCCCGAAGGCCGCCGCGGGTTGCCCCGCTTTCACCCGGGGCCGCGCGGCGGGGCGC